TTCCGCCGCCTCGACGACCTCTACCGGGCTCGCTGGGGCCCTCAGGCGGTCACGCCTCGCTGGTCTCGTCTGTTAGCCCGTAAGATTGATGTATTTGATCTGTCCATGGACGATGCGCGTCAGCATGCTTTGTTTGTTGATGCTGACTTTAGTGCTGATGGATCTGTTTGCTCGCGTGTTCGTAGGTTAGCCTGCTTGCCTCCTGCTAGTGTAGCCTTGTGCCTGTCTAGCTTAGGTGCTTGTGTTGCTGCTCTAGGTGCTTGTGTAGCGACTGAGTCAGGTGACCCTCCGGCTGAGGCCTCTCTGTCGTTCACGCTGGACTCGGGCGCGTCTCAGTGCTTCTTCCGCGACCACACGACCCTTACCCCACTCCTCACACCTGTGTCGGTGGCTCTGGCTGATCCTACCTCAGGACCAGCCGTTGCGCGCAGCTCCACCACCCTCCCCTGCCCTGTGGTCCCCTCTGGTGTCCTGCGCGGCCTCCACATCCCCTCGTTCACTCGGAACTTGGTGGGTGTTGGATACCTCCAGGACAGGGGGATCACGGTTACCTTCGTGGGGGGTGGGCGGACTGCAGTCTGTACAGACGCTACCACAGGTGCTGTTCTGGCCACGTTCACCCGGGAGCCCCGCTCCGGTCTCTACGTCCTCCACACCGAGCGCTCCCCGGTCGCGTCCTCCCCTCAGGTCGTTGCGTCCCCTCCGGCCCAGGTCCCCAGTCCAGTTGCTGTGTCTAGCCAGGTAGTAGTGTCCGGTCCGGTCGCTGTGTCCAGCCCCGTCGCTGCGTCGTGCTCCTGTCGCTCTCTCACCCACCGCACCGTCCTGTGGCACCACCGCCTTGGCCACCCGTCGCTCCCTCGCCTACGTGGCATGCTCAGTCAGGGACTTGTCTCAGGTCTCCCACGCACCTTCCCGTCGCTCCCTCTCTCGCCTGCCCCTCCTTGCTCTCCGTGCGTCGCCGGTCGCTTACGCGCCACTCCCCACTCCTCCTCCCTTCGTCCGGCCACCGCTCCCTTCGAGACTCTCCACCTGGACGTCTGGGGCCCTGCCCCGACACAGGGGTCCGGGAGGGAGCGCTACTTTCTGGTGGTCGTCGACGACTTCTCCAGGTACACCACAGTGTTCCCTCTTGCGAAGAAGTCCGAGGTGACTGCTACGCTGATCAGGTGGCTTTTGGCCACTGAGGGCACTCGTGGTCGTCGAGTCAGTTGTCTCCACTCCGACCGAGGGGGCGAGTTTCGCTCCGGCATTCTTGCCGGATTCTGCGGCGAACAGGGCATCACCCAGTCCTGGACGCTGCCAGAGTCCCCACAGCAAAATGGGGTTGCTGAGCGCCGCATTGGCATGGTCATGGACATTGCTCGCACGTCCATGATTCACGCCCGTGCGCCCCATTTTCTGTGGCCCTACGCGGTTCGCTACGCCGCACACCAGCTGAACCTCCAGCCGCGTGTCTCGCGGCCCGAGGCTTCACCGACCAGTCTTTGGACTGGTTCCCCTGGTGTTGGGTCGGCCTTTCGAGTCTGGGGCTGCCTTGCGCAAGTCCGCGACACCTCTGCGGACAAGCTCTCGGCACGCGCCATCGACTGTGTCTTCCTTGGGTTCCCGGTCGGCTCTGCTGACTGGACCTTTTACCACCCTCCCCTCCACCAGTTCCTAGACTCCCGTGACGTCCGGTTTGACGAGTCCGTGTCCTACTACACCCGGTACCCCTGTCGAGGTCTCCCGGTACCCCCTCCCCCTCTTTTCCTCGCACCCTCTCCTCCTCCTGCTCCCGCCCCTCCGGTACCCCCGCCCCCCCCTGGTCCTGCCCCGTCTGGTGTGTCCCACGTTACCCCTCTACCCTTGGTCGCGCGTCAGGTAGCGTCTCCCTCCCCACAGTCCTCCTCACAGTCCCCTCAGCAGCCTTCGGCACTTCCGCGACAGGTTACTGTGGACTCGGTTGGTGTTGGAGCTGGAGGTGCAGCCGCTGGCGGTGCTCGGTCTGGGGGTACTCGGTCGCGGGGTGCTGGAGCTGGAGGTACTGGCGCAGGTGGCGCTAGCTCTGGGGGTGCTGGAGCTGGAGGTGCTGGAGCTGGAGGTGCTGGTTCTGGGGGTGCTGAGTCTGAGGAGTCTGACCCTGGGTCTGCGGAGTCCACTCCGCCTCCCCACCGCCACGACACACGTCTCCAGGCTGCCCGCCGGCGTGAGCGTGAGGAGCAGGAGCGGTTGGAGAGGGAGCGGCAGGAGCTGCGGGTACTGGACCTCCTGGAGCAGCAGCGGCAGCAGCAGCAGCAGCAGCAGTAGCAGCAGCAGCAGCAGCAGCAGCCGCCGCAGCAGCTGCAGTAGCAGCCGCCGCCGCAGCCGCCGCCACAGCTCCCTCTGGAGCGGCAGTTGTTCCCCCCTGTGAGTGGCCTGCGGGCCCTTGGCCTTTCCTCCTCTCCTCCTGTGTTTGGTCCTACGTTTCCTCCTCCGGACGCCAGTCCAGCAGTCAGGTCGTTCTCTCCGCCACAGTCTCCTCCTCCTGTAGTCCTAGACAGTCGTGACTTGGTCACCCGTTGTCCCCCGCGTGCTCGTCACTCGTCCCCTGTTACTGACCTCCACACTGCCCTCTTGTGTTCGTCTCGTCGCCGTTCTCCGTCTCCTGTGTCCGTTCTCCCGTCTCCTCCTCTGTCCTCTCTCCCCACCCTCCCCACTCCGATCACTGACTACTACCGCACTGTTCGTCCTGTTGCCTCCCGTGTCCTAGCCACTCTTGTCACCGACTCTCGTTTCCCCCCGTCGTCTGCCTCCGCTCTCACTGCCGCTGTCGCTGAGTTTGCTGCCGCTAGCCGCCTTGACTACGCTACCCGTGTGGTCCCTGCTCCTCCCTACCGTCCTCTGTCCGTCGGGGGTGAGTTTGCCCTTGGCTGTGACGTCCTAGAGGACAGAGAGTCTGAGCTGGAGTACTGGGCAGCCGCTTCTCCTTCTGTCTGTGCCATGCTGCTCTCCCCTGAGGGAGACCCCGACGCCCTGGACATACCGACTCCTCGCACTTACCGCGAGGCTGTGTCAGGGAAGTGGGCCTCTCAGTGGAAAGCGGCTATGGACTCAGAGTTGGCGTCTTGGAGATCCACAGGCACTTACGTCGACGCAGTTCCCCCTCCTAGGGCGAACGTAGTCGATGGCATGTGGCTCTTCAAGGTGAAGCGGCCGCCTGGAGCACCTCCGGTGTTCAAGGCGCGCTACGTGGCTAGGGGCTTCAGTCAGCGTGAGGGAGTTGACTTCTTCCAGACCTTTGCTCCGACCCCGAAGATGACTACTCTTCGGGTGTTACTTCACATAGCAGCGCAGCGAGACTACGAGCTGCACTCCCTCGACTTCTCCACTGCGTTCCTCCAGGGCCGACTGCACGAGGAGATGTGGCTGCGTCGTCCGCCTGGCTTCACTGACACCTTCCCTCCTGGGACTTAGTGGAGCCTGCGCCGACCAGTCTACGGTCTCCGCCAGTCGCCCCGAGAGTGGCACGACACTCTTCGCTCCACGCTTCGTGACCTTGGTTTCAGACCGTCGACTGCCGACCCTTCACTGTTTGTTCGGGAGGGTTCTACTCCTTTCTTTATACTTGTCTACGTTGACGACTTGGTCTTTGCTACAGCAGACAGGGCAGCGCTGGCTCAGGTGAAGTCGGAACTGCAGAAGAGACACAAGTGCACTGACCTGGGTGAACTGCAGCGCTACCTTGGCCTGCAGATCACCAGGGACAGAGCCGCTCGCACCATCACACTGACGCAGTCACACATGGTGCAGCAGGTCCTTCGGCGGTTCGACTTCCAGTTCTCCACCGCACAGCCCACTCCTCTTGCTGTTGACCACAGACTCACGGGCCCCTTTCCTGACGAGCCCTTCGAGTCCAGTGGTCCTTACGCAGAGCTGGTGGGCTGCCTCATGTACCTGATGACCTGTACTCGGCCGGACCTCGCCTTTCCCCTCAGCATCCTTTCGCGCTTTGTTGCGACTGGGAGACACCGTCCTGTCCACTGGACATCAGCTGTGAGGGTGGCGAAGTACCTGGCGACTACAGCAGGAGTGGGGCTTGTGCTTGGAGGGACTCAGCCAGTGGCGTTGACTGGTCACTGCGACTCTTCCTACGCTGACGACGTGGAGACTCAGCGCTCGACTCAGGGTTACTGCTTCAGTCTGGGAGCTGGTGCTGTGTCGTGGAGGTCTACACGGTCGTCGTCTGTGGCTACTTCCAGCGCAGAGGCTGAGATCTACGCTGGTGCCATGGCGGCACAGGAGCTTCGCTGGTTGACCTTCTTGCTCGCCGACCTTGGTGAGCGGCCTCGCTCTGCACCGACCTTGTACGCTGACAACAAGGCCATGATCCTCCTGTGTCGAGAGCCTCGACTGGAGAGCAGAGTGAAGCACATTGACGTGAGGTACTTCCTCCTGCGAGAGCTGCAGCGACGCGGCCAGGCCCGCCTGGACTTTGTGGCCTCAGAGGCCAACACTGCAGACGTCTTCACCAAGGCCTTAGCGCTTGGTGACCACCACAGGTTCTGTGTGCAGTTGGGGCTTGTTGAGGTTGGCCCTAAGTTGCTGTAGTCTTGTTTCTTGCTCTGCTTGTTGTGTTTCCTATTTATAATCTAGTGAACCCTTGAACTGGCCTTGTGGCCACTTTCATGTGCTCGGAATTTGTGTGGTGTCCTTGAGATCCACCCTGAGCTTGCCTTGTTTCTTGCATTGACTGGTCTTGTGACCGTGTGCTCGCCTTGCTTGATTTGATGCCCCTCACTTAGCCTATGGGGGTGTGTCAAATGTTATATTTGTGATAGGCTGTAGTGAGTTGCTCCTTAGGGAGTACAACACTTTGTTAGGTATCCTACTTGTATGCTTTCACAACCCCAATCCAATCATTCCGCTAAGCTACTTTGAGACTTTTGAGAAACTCTGATTGCACACATCAGACTACTTACTCGCTCCCCACTCCATTTTCTTCTCGTTTTTTGCCCCTAAACACTTCCCCTCCCCCCCATCCATCATCTCTGAATTGCCTTCTTCGTCCCTTTCTCCCCCTTCTTCCCCTTCCCCTTTTCCCCCTTCCCCTTCTCACCCTCCCCCCTCCCTTTTTTCTCCCCCTTTCCCTCCTCTCCTCCCCCTATCAGCCCCATCTCTAGCTTCACTCTCACAGCCACCCCCTTCCGCCTCTCACAAAACCTCTCCACAGCCTCCTCCCCCACCTCCCCCCTTTCCCCCACCTGCAGCCCCAACCGCCTCAGCTTCCCCCCTTCCCCCCGCGCAGGGGACTGCCAGGGCGCGTCCCACCAGGCATAGGGCAGGGCGGGGGAGAGGGCGCACTGGGGGGGCTGGGCGGGGCAGGAGAGGCGGCCAGAGAAGGTGTGCCAGGCGTGGCCGCGACCCCCCTGGTTGGCTAAACCGTTTTCCAGTAGGTGCGAGTGGAAGGCGCTTAGCAGGAGGAAGCGCGATGCTTGAGGGGAGGGGGTGTCCTCTGGTGAGGGGAACGGGGGGAAAATGGGGGGAGAGAGAAAGCAGGAAAAGCGAGAGGGTGAGAAAGCGGCAGTGTGAGAGGAGGAGAGGGCACATAGGAGGGGTCGGGCGGGGCAGGAGAGGCTGGGCGGGGCAGGAGAGGCGGCCTGAGAAGGTGTTCCAGGCGTGGCCCCTCCCCCCCTGGTTGGCTAAACCGTTTTCCAGTAGGTGCGAGTGGAAGGCGCTTAGCAGGAGGAAGCGCGATGCTTGAGGGGAGGGGGTGTCATCAGTAGAATGGTAAGTGGGAAGGGGGAGGACATTGGAAAGGAGGATGGGGAATAGAAAGCAGGGAAAGGGAGAGAGTGAGAATGAGAATGTGCTAGGCGTGGCCCCTCCCCCCCTGCTTGGCCAACTCATTCTCCAGCAGCTGCAAGAAGCAGGCGCTTAGAAGGAGGAAGTGGGATGACGAAGGGGAGAGGGTGTCTTTGGCAGGGAGATGAGGGGGGTGGTGGGAGGTGGAGGGGAAGGGGAACAGGGAGAGGGATCGGGGCGGGGAAAGCGAGAGCATGAGAATGAGTCACCCTGAAAGAGGCTAAAGAGGTAGTGAGTCGAGAGAAGGTGCTGAAGACTTTCGAGCAGCGATTGTACGAGCGCACTGCCTTACCACGCCCCTTTGACCAGGTGGTGGGATCCTCTACCTCATAGCGCGGCTCACCTAGGCTCCTGGCAGCAGCAGCGAGGGAAGTGGCGAGCTGAGAGAAGGTGGTGAAGACAGAACGACAATTGCACAATCACCGAGCAGCCACACCCTACCAGGGACTCACCTAGGCTCCTGGCAGCGGCGAGAGAGGCAGCGAGCTGAGAGAAGGTGGTGAAGACCCTTGATCGCCCTGCAGAAATGAAGGCGTAGCGCGCCCGGGCGGCAAGGAAGAAGTCGACCAATGCCACCCAGCGGGGCAGGGGGCCCCAGTCTCGCACTCGGAAGGATGGGAGCTGCGAGGGAAGGGAAGGAGAATGCAGAGAGAGAGAAGAGAGCACAGAAAAAAAAAAAGAGTTGCTGGGAAGTTGTTGAAAGGCTATTACAACGTTGTTACAATTTTTAGCAGTGTTCTTTCAGAGGTTGCAAATTGACGCATCAGAGGTGATGCCCTTTCCAGGTGACTTTCCGGGTGTCTATGTGTATTTTGAGTCTACTCATAGGATGGTGAAAGGATGCTGAAGCTCGGTAGTGCTGATGCCTACTGATTTGTTCTTTGCAGAGGCAAGAGGGCTTTCCGGGTGTCTATGTGTATTTTAAGTCTACTCATAGGATGGTGAAAGTATGCTGAAGCTCGGTAGTGCTGCTGCTTACTGATTTGTTCTTTGCAGAGGCAAGAGGGCTTTCCGGGTGTCGGCGCACGAACTTAGCATGGTCAAAACGAATGATCTGATGGGCGGGGGGGGGGAAGGATAAGGGGGAAGAATAGGGATGTAGCGGGATGACGTGGGTAAGGGACGAGGTTTGGTGCGAGGGGGCTCTCTGGGTGTCGGCGCATGAACTTAGCATGGTCGAAACGAATGATCTGATGGGCGGGGGAGTAAAACTGGAGGAACGATAGGGAGGGAAGCGGGATGCAGTGGGTAATGGGAAAGTGGTGCGAGGGGGCTCTCTGGGTGTCGGCGCACAAACTTGGCATTGTCGAAACGAATGATCTGATGGGGGGGGGGGGAGGGGGAGGATAAGGGGGGAGAATAGGGAGGGAGGCAATTGAAGCAGGTAAGGGACCAAGTTTGGTGGGAGGGGGTTTTCCGGGTGTGGGCGCACAACTTGGCATGATCGAAACAAATGATCTAACCGCCGGGGAGTAAAGGGGGGTGGGGGGGGGAAGAGTAGAGAGGGAGAGGGGGGGATGAAGTGGGTAAGGGACCAAGTTTGGTGAGAGGGGTAGCCGAAAAAGGACGGGAAACTGGTGAAGGGAATAATGAGGTGAGGCAAGAATGCGGCGAAGGGAAAACGAAGTAAGGGAGGGTGGAGGGTGCGGTGAGGGGAGAATGGTGTGAAGGGAGACAGAGAGGTGCGGGGACGGAATGCGTGGGTGGTTTCATTTTCGGTGGAGAGAGAGCGAGAGAGAGAAGGCCTTAGCATCCAGCCCTCTCCCTCTTCCCTCTGCCCTCTCCCTCTGAGCCTATTTAAGGGGCCCTCTGTGCCTTCCCGGCCTCATTATTTCGTGGGTGTTTCATTTTCGGCAGAGAGAGAGCGAGAGAGAGAAGGCCTTAGCATCCAGCCCTCTCCCTCTTCCCTCTGCCCTCTCCCTCTGAGCCTATTTAAGGGGCCCTCTGTGCCTTCCCGGCCTCATTATTTCGTGGGTGTTTCATTTTCGGCGGAGAGAGAGCGAGAGAGAGAAGGCCTTAGCATCCAGCCCTCTCCCTCTTCCCTCTGCCCTCTCCCTCTGAGCCTATTTAAGGGGCCCTCTGTGCCTTCCCGGCCTCATTATTTCGTGGGTGTTTCATTTTCGGCGGCTCGCGCCGGCGGCCTTCGGCCGCGCGTTCCTGGTGGCAAGACACAAAACGTGGGTTCGGCTTATAAAGGGCACACACACACACAAAGGCAAGGAGCTGGGCAAGAGCAAGAGGCGCGGCATGCAATTCTACACGCGGCGGAGGCCTACATCGTGTACGGCTCCGCCCCCTCCACCTCAAGCATCGAGCGCTTGCACGCCGATACTGCAAGAAGGAGATGCGCCGACGACTGGAGCGTGTCCAAGGGGGTCCCGGCTTGAGCAGCCCCTACAAGATCCCCCACGTGGCGGGGGAAAGTACGGGCTAAGGGAGCTACCCCGGCGGGCGCATCCGACACGGGTGCCAACGGCGACTCCAGCGATTCTGCCAAAGTCAAGCAGGATCCTCGGGACCCTGGACCGAAACTGCTCGGAAAGCTCCGCGTGGCCCCACACACCGCCAGCTGCAAGTTCGCCACCACCTCGCACGCCTCCGCCAGATTCAAAATCCGGCACATCGTCAGCATGGGGTCTCTCCCCGCGCGAGTGGGGGGAGGTGCAGTCAGCGCTTCGCGCGGAAACGCCGCCGGCCAGCCTGGAGTCCGGCCAACAGATAAGCGCGGCGCAGGGAAGCCGGGAACCTGACGGGGGGTGCGGAACTGAGCCCTTCCCCCACGCGCGGGCTGATATTCGCGCAGCGTCGGCGCGCGCAGAGGAGCAACCTGGCCGGGGTCCGCGGCGAAGGGGGGACCGTTGGTCACCTCAATGTGGACGTGAGTCGGCGCCCCACTCGCCCGGGCCTGCCTCACCACCTCCACGAACGTGTCCGCAGCGCGATCGAGGGCAGGATCCGGCTGGTTGCCATTCCCGCCTCGCCCTCCGCCTTTCCGCCAGCCCCGCCGTCCCCCGGAACCAGCCGAATGTGGACGCGGGGGGGACTGCTCGCGGCGACCCGAATCCCAGCGACGCCCAGGCGACCCCCTCCCCCGTGTCGCCGGAGATCGCCGCGGAGAGCGTTGCGCGGGGGATCGCGCTCGGGGTGAGCGCTGGCCTGCCTGACCACGAGGGGATGGGCGGCGAGGAGAGCGAGGACGTGCAGGGGAACGCTGACCCCCCTCCCCGCGCTGATAGTGCTCGCGATGCTCAGGAGAAGGGCGGCGAGGAGAGGGCGGCCGAGGAGGCTGACGCGGAGGCGAGCACCCGCGCTCATGCCGCGGCTGACCGTCCGGGCGGTTCGACGCAACACGTGCAGGCGCCCACGAATACTCCGGCGAGGTGAGGCGCGCGGCAGGCCGATGGGGAAGTGTTTGCACCCGCTCGAAGCGGCGAACGGGCTCGCTTGCGGAGGGATGCGCAAGGAGACGCGGACGAGGCCCGGCAGGCGCAGGCTGCGGCAGCGCGCTCTCCGCGGAACCCTCCAGCTCCGGATCCCGTCTCGCGGATGGGTCCATCACCCCCGATCGTACCGCAGCCGACGCCAGCGCGCCGACGAAGCGAAAACGAGACGGTCGCGGCGCCGCAGACAGGGCGCGAGGGAGCTGCTGTTGGAAGAGCAACGCGTGGAATCCGCGTAGGACGCGGCAGCCGCCGCGGACGACGAGGTAACGAGAGAGGACGAAGAGGTGGTGGAACACGAGGTTCAAACAGGCGCCGCACAGGTGCAAGCGGCTACGCGAGAAATGCGGAAAGGCTGATGCGAAACGGCGCGGAGGGCGGCGAGGAACCGCTTAGCGAGGAGGCAGAGGGGGAAGTGGAGAATGAGGAAAGTGACGAGGGTGACCCTGCTTTTAACCCTGAAAGAGAGGGGATGTTGGGGGCAGAAGCTGAGGAGGACGAGGAGGAGTTGGAACTTATGCTTCGAGGAGAGGAGCTCCCCAGCCCAAATGTCCGAGGCGAACCTGCCAACCGAACCACAGCTCAGAACCGAGCCGCGGGGGGAAATCACGCAAGGAGGGGAAATCGAGCCGCGACAGAGACTGGAGTTGACTCTGCGACAGCCAATGAGAATTCAGCAGCCCCAATTCCGACCCCCCCAATGCTCAAACCCGACGACCTGGCGAAAAATACTGACCTGTTCGCCCAGGTTGCCGACTGGGACATTGGCCCGCTGCGAGATAGTCGCCAACCCCCAGTCGCCCGCCACCCTCCAAAAGACCTTTGCGAGTCTTTCGCGATTTGCCTGCTGACACCGTTACTCCACCTGGCAGCCAACCCCGAGTCAGAACCTGGCTGGATGTTACTCACCTTCCTCCCTCGCTTACTTCTTCGCTCCTCGTCAGCTCGTAAGCCTGACTGGAGCGCAAATATGAACAGGCTCCTGCGATTTCGCCAAGGGCTCTGGGCCGGCCTCTACGAAATACCCACGAAATAATGAGGCCGGGAAGGCACAGAGGGCCCCTTAAATAGGCTCACAGGGAGAGGGCAGAGGGAAGAGGGAGAGGGCTGGATGCTAAGGCCTTCTCTCTCTCGCTCTCTCTCCGCCAAAAATGAAACTCCCTCTGAGCCTATTTAAGGGGCCCTCTGTGCCTTCACCCAGTGAAGGGACCGACCCAGTGTCCTTCCAGGACGAGAACTGCAACCGCGCACCTGGTTGGGCGGCTAGGGCGGCAGCTGCTCGGAAGGAGGAGAAATATGCGGGACGGAATGCGTGGGTGGGGTTCCACGCCTTGGCCGTGGAGACCTACGGCTACCCGTCGCCGGGGGTACTGGCTTACCTGCGGCAGTGCGCGGAGCTGGCTGCGAAGCTCCGCTACAACGCAGCCCCTACCTCTCGAGAGGCTGCCAAGCTGCTGACGGAGTACCGCCAGCGCTGGAGCGTGTGCCTCCAGAGGGCACAGGCAAATGCCCTCCGCACCAAGACCAACGAGGCCCTGGAGGCGGACGAGCTCAGCCTGCAAGGGCCGTGGGCCCCTCTCAACGAGGGGCAGCTGCACCAGCTGATCGAGCCCCCGTCCGACCACTAGGGTCGGACAGCGGGGGGAGGGGAGGGGAGTAGGTGATGGTTGATAGGTCTGCTTGTTTGCCTAGTTTGCATGTGTCTGCTTCAAACCTTTGTACCACCCTTCAGCTAATACACGGGCCATTTGAGAGGTGCGGGGAGAGTGCTACCTCCTTTGCAGCACGGTTCACCCACCTTGGCAAAGTCAGCACGCCTATCATGCGCCTATCTTGCGCCTATCTTGCGCCTATCTTGCGCCTATCATGCGCCTATCTTGCGCCTATCTTGCGCCTATCTTGCGCCCATCTTGCGCCTATCATGCGCCTATCTTGCGCCTATCTTGCGCCTATCTTGCGCCTATCTCGCGCCTATCTTGCGCCTATCCTGCGCCTATCCTGCGCCTATCTTGCGCCTATCTTGCGCCTATCTTGCGCCTATCTTGCGCCTATCTTGCGCCTATCTTGCGCCTATCTTGCGCCTATCTTGCGCCTATCTTGCGCCTATCCTGCGCCTATATTGCGCACCACGCTTGGGTGATCCGCAAATTCGTGTGCCGACTCAAACTAAGGCCTGCCAATATTCTTATCGGTTGGAAAGGCAAGGAGCGGCACAGTAGACCCACCTTTGCAAAGAGCGGCACAGTAGACCCACCTTTGCAAAGTCGGACGTCAGTGCACCTATCTTGCGGAACACGCTTGGATGATCCGCCACCACCACCACCCTCAGCTTGTCCTTATCGCTCGCCGCTTTCTTGCTCCCTGCTGTCTTGTTCTCGCTCCCTCCTTCCTTATTCCCTCCTTTCTCATCCTCATCCCCAGCCGCCTTCTTCTGTCCTTGAGTCCACTTCACCCTCTTCCCCGTCTTTGCCTTCCCCGATTTCGCCTTCCCCGGCTTTCCCTTCTTTGTCTTCCCCGTTTTCGTCTTTCCTACTTTCGTTTTTCCCTTCTTCGTCTTTCCCTTGGTTGTCTTGCCCTTGCCCTTCCCTCCTCCCCCTTTCTGCTTCTGCACCACCACCGCATCAAAAACACTCGCACGACGCGCACTCGCACGCTCCAGATTTTGAGGCGCCTCAAAAGTCGTTGTCTTGCCCTTGCCCTTCCCTCCTCCCCCTTTCTGCTTCTGCAGCACCACCACCGAGTCACGACGCACACTCGCACGCTCCAACTGACCTTCCTCTTCCCCTCCACCCATCCCCTCTCCTCCTCTGCCCTCCTCCTCCCGTCCTCCACCCCTTTCTCTACCCACCTCCTCCCCTTCTCCACCCATCTCTATCTCTCCACCACCCTCTCCTCTACCCTCTGTCTCCAGCAATCGTCTGCCTCCGCCCCACCGAATTCTCCCCTTCCCCCACGCCAGCAACCTACTCCCCATGCTGCCTGCACCAACACCTGTTGGTCTCATCGCTGCAACTGCTTCACCTCCTCCTGTTCCTGCTGGCCCTGCGAATACTACTCCAGACGCTACAGTAATTACAGATGCCGCTCCACCCGTTGCTGCTGTTGGTGCTGGCAGTGCTGCTTCTGTTGCTGCTACCGTTTGTATTCTTTCAAGTGCGTCTGCTTGCTCCTTCTGCTGCTCGTCCTGCTGCTTCACCCTGTGAATGTGCTCCAGTGCCTTTTTAAGACACAGAGCCGCCGCAGAAGCCACGGATTCCAGCCTGCAGGAAGAGGGGGGAGAGGAATGAAGCTCCCCCATTAAAACCCATAGAAAACGGGCATGCAGCGCTATAGAGCCTGTGGGTGGAAAGGGGAGCAACGAAACGAGTCCCACCCACACATGATTGTTGGCATCCCACGCACGATACGAAGAGTCTGGCCTGCCAGTCCGCACCAACACACCCAACCCATGCCGACACATGCCCCATCACCCATCATCTACCAGCCCACGCCCCACCTCACCGCCGCCATGCCAGCGGCAAACTGAAGTGTTTTGAGGTCGTCTCTCCAGCAAGTGTCAAGAAAGGCTTGGTGTCAAGCGTTGTTTACGGTTGACACCAAGTGGAGCCGCGTGTGAGCGCGGCTCCAGCCTGGTGTCAATGTTGGGCACATTGGACGATTTCCCGCGATCTCATTGGTTGGTTTAGCTGACACCAGGAGGGATAGTCCTCCATGTGTTTTCGAGTTGGTGTCATGACACTAGCCCCTCTTGACACTTGCTGGGGATACGATCTGAGACGTCTCAAAACACTTCTGTTTACTCGCAGCCCACCTGTTCACTAATATTGAAATCACTTTTGAGAATTCTCAAAAGTGTTTACTCGCAGCCCACCTGTTCACTAATATTGAAATCACTTTTGAGAATTCTTAAAAGTGTTTACTCGCAGCCCACCTGTTCACTAATAACAGCACCAGCCCACGCCCCAACTCACCGCCGCCATGCCAGCGCCAAACAAACTTCCTCTCCTTTTCCCATTCCACCCATCCCTTTCCCATTCCACCCATCCCTTTCCCATTCCACCCATATCAACCCACACCAACCCAAGCCAACCCACGCCAACCCAAGCCAAACGTGGCACCAGCACAGCAAGCACATCCAAGCCACTCACCCGCCGTGGCGGTAATGAATTACCACGTCGGCATCCCTCCACTGCCCAGCGCCCACCTCACTGCATCCGCCGACGGCAACCCCAACCTTGGCACCAACGTAGCAAGCGAATCCAAGCCACTCACCCGCCGCGCAGAAGTGAATGAGCGCATCTGCGTCCCTCCTGCCACTCCCCAGCGCCCACACCAACACACAGCAGCCCACGGCAACCCCAACCTTGGGAACAACATAGCAAGCAAATCCAAGCCACTCACCCGCCGTGCCGAAAGTGAATGACCACATCAGCGTCCCTCCCTCCGCTCCCCAGCGCCCATCTCACTGCCTCCGCCACTGCTGGCGTCGGCAGCAGCAGCACGCGCGCAATCTCCCCAAACAGGTTGGGGCGCGAATTGGGGTCCCACGGCACGCCCATTATGGCCTGTGCTCTCTCCCGCATCGCCGGATGGAGGTTCTTGAGGAAGGTTTGAATGCCCACTGAGTCTAATGCATCATCAAAACTGGAGGAGGAAGGGGAGGAAGGGGAGGAAGGGTGAGAGGGAAGGAGGAAACCAAGGGGGAGGAAGGTGAGAGGGAGGGGGGAGGACACGGGAAGGGATAGGGCGTGGGCAGCAGCAGCAGCACGCGCGCGATCGGAGTGACTTTTGAGAATTCTCAAAAGTCAGCAGCAGCACGCGCGCCATCTCCTCAAACAGGTTGGGGCGCGAGTTGGGGTCCCACGGCACGCCCATGATGGCGTGTGCTCTCTCCCGCTTGGCGGGATGGAGGTTCTTGAGGAAGGTTTGGATGCCCACTGAATCCAATGCATCATCAAAACTGGAGGAGGAAGGGGAGGAAGGGGAGGAAGGTGAGAGGGAGGGGGGAGGAGACAAGAAGGGATAGGGCGTGGGCAGCAGCAGCAGCACGCGCGCAATCTCCCCGAACAGGTTGGGGCGCGAGTTGGGGTCCCACGGCACGCCCATGATGGCCTGTGCTCTCTCCTGCATCGCCGGATGGAGGTTCTTGAGGAAGGTTTGAATGCCCACTAAGTCCAGTGCATCATCAAAACTGGTGGGAGTGAGGGGAGAACGCGGGGGAAGGAAGGGTGAGCGCATCTCCCCAAAGAGGTTGGGGCGGGAGTTGGGGTCCCAACGGACGCTCATGATGGCCTGTGCTCTCTCCCGCATGGATGGGTGGACGTTCTTCAGGAAGGTTTGAATTCCCACTGAATCCAACGCATCATCGAAACTGGAGAGGGAAGGAGCGAGGGAGGAAAGAACCAAAGGGGGACTGGGATTGCAGCGTGAGTTGGGGTCCCAGGGCACGCCCATGATGGCCTGGGGTCTCTCCCGCATGGCGGGATGGAGGTTCTTGAGGAAGGTTTGGATGCCCACTGAGTCTAATGCATCGTCGAAACTGGAGTGGGGGAGGGGGGAACGCAGGGGAAGGACAGTAGGAGCCCATGATGGCGTGTGCTCTCTCCCGCATGGTGGGATGGAGGTTCTTGAGGAAGGTTTGGATGCCCACTGAGTCTAATGCATCATCAAAACTGGAGTGGGGGAGGGGAGAACTCAAGGGAAGGAAGGGTGAGAGGTTTGAAACAGGCAATCTCCCAAACACGTTGGGGCGAGAGTTGGGGTCCCAAGGCACGCCCATGATGGCCTGTGCTCTCTCCCGCATGGCTGGATGGAGGTTCTTGAGAAATGCCTGAATGGGTACCGAGTCCAATGCATCGTCCAGACTGGAGGGGGGAGATATGGAGCAGGAAGGAAGGTGCGAGGGAGGGCGAGAGGGAGGGTGAGAGGGAGGGTGAGAGGGAGGGTGAGAGGGAGGGTGAGAGGGAGGGTGAGAGATCACAGGGAGGGAGGGAGGTGGGGAGGGACGGAGGGCCAAACTCGAGGGGAGCGTGCAAGGGAGTGGGGAAGAAGAGGGAGGGCGGTGAGGGGAAGAAGAGGGAGGGCGGTGAGGGGAAGAAGAGGGAGGGCGGTGAGGGGAAGAAGAGGGAGGGCGGTGAGGGGAAGAAGAGGGAGGGCGGTGAGGGGAAGAAGAGGGAGGGCGGTGAGGGGAAGGGAGAAGAAGAGGGGAAAGGATGGAATGAAACGCATGATTTCCCAAGAAATAGAAAATCACCAGATCTAGTGCGGTACTTAATCATGCTCTTTTTTTTCATGGAATGAAACGCATGCTTTCCCCGTACGTTTCTTCCCTGTGAACCAATCGAATGCAACAATTTCATTCCACTGGTTGCTCTCACTCACTGGTGTGGCTCGCGAGATAATGGGCTCCATCCACGTGTGATGAGTCGACTAGAAAATCGACTAGAGAATCGACTCATCACACATGGGCTCCTTCCACGTGGACCAATCATCACACAGCGTGCGTGATCTTGCCCGGTTGGCAACTAGAAGCAGCCTGTAGCACCGCTCAAAGAGATGCTCTCTAGCAACGATGATGGTGCTTTTGAGAAGAGATGCTCAAAAGTGCTGCTCAAAAGTGCTGCTCAAAAGTGCTGCTCAAAAGTGCTGCTCAAAAGTGCTGCTCAAAAGTGCTGCTCAAAGAGATGCTCTCTAGCATGCACGCACCAGATGATGGGTTCCCTCCACGTGGACCAATCATCACACATCGTGCGTGATCTCGCCCGGTTGGCAAAAGAGTCCGTCCTGACCACCAGAGGCCGCCTGTAGCGCCGCTCGCAGTCATGCTGATACCAGAGGTGCCTCAACTCGAGCATGGAGAATACTTCTGGGGAGAAGGCGAGATAGTCCTTCCACAGCCTCTGACCCACCGTCTTGTTGCTCTCCATCAGTGGCCGCGTGCCACTGGGGGTGGAGGAATGATTGGAGGGAGGTTGGGACGAGAGGGGAGAGGCAGAGATGGGTGGTGAGTGGTGTCGACCGGTGGTCAGCAGCGGCAGCAGCAGTTGCCCGTGTGGTGGTGCCAGAGGTGCCTCAACTCGAGCATGGAGAATACTTCTGGGGAGAAGGCGAGATAGTCCTTTCATAGCCGCTGCCCCACCGTCTTGTTGCTCTCTATCAGTGGCCGCGTGCCACTGGGGGGGTAAGGAAAAGGAGGACGGTGGGAAGCACAGGGGAAAAACGCGGGCTGGACAAGTGAGCCCACCACACCCCACCACACCCCACCACACCCCACCACGCCTCGCAATCATGACTCACACTTTCTCTCCCACATTGATGGAACAGTTGAGCATGAGAGCCAGAGCTGGAGCCGTGAGGATCTTGTAGAGATTGTTCCCCCACCGCACCCCACTGCACCTCACCACATCCCACCCTACAACACCCCACCAACTCACCAGTTGTCGGTGAAAATAACAGAGCGGGTGAGCATGAGAGCAAGAGCCGGGGCTGTGAGGACCTCAGAGAGGTTGTTCCCCAGCCCACCACACATAACCACTGCCCACCCCACCAGACCCCGCCACACTTCACCGCAGCCCACACCACCGCACCTTACCACATCACTCACTAGTTCTCGCCCATGATGATAGAGTGGTTGAGCATGAGAGGAAGAGCCGGGGCTGTGAAGATCTTGTAGACATTATTTCCCAGCCCACCACACTTCACCACTGCACACCCCACCAGACCCTGCCGCACTTCACCGCAGTCCACCCCACCACACCCGACCACAGCCCACCACGCCCCACCACATCTAACCCAGATCACTCACTAGTTCTCGCCCACGATAATAGAGTGGTTGAGCATGAGAGCAAGAGCCAGGCCTGTGAGGATCTTGTAGAGGGTGTTCCCCACCTCACCGCGATTCACCACCGCCCACCCCACCAGACCCCACCGTACCTCACCGCAGCCCACCCTGCAACACCCCACCAACTCACTAGTTCTCGCCCACGATAATGGAGCGGTTGAGCATGAGAGCAAGAGCCGGAGCCGTGAGGATCTTATACAGGTTGTTGCCTAAGCCCTCGTGCTTGCCATAGCCCAACACAAAGCTCCTCTGACAAAACTCGTGAGCCGGCAGCGCACGCAGGGCAGAGGCGCCTGGTAGGGAGGAGGGGGGAGAGAGGAGGGAAGAGAGAGAGGGGAGGAAACAGGAGCGAAGAGAAAGAAGGGAAGAGACAGGAGGGAGGAGAGACAAGGGGAAACGCGAGTGGGTGGTGCAGTGAGGATCTTGTACAGGTTGATCCCTACCCTAGCCCCTCGTGCTTGCCATATCCCAACACAAAGCTCCTCTGACAAAACTCGTGAGCCGGCAGCGCACGCAGGGCAGAGGCACCTGCAGGGACAGGGAGTCGGGAGGGGGGGAAGAGACAGGAGGGAAGTCAGCGGGGGGAAGGCACAGGAAGGAAGAGAGAGGAGAGAAGACAGAGGGAAGGAGAAGAGAGGGAAGACAGAGAGAGGGAGGGCCTGTGAGGATTTTGTAAATGTCGTACCCCAGATTCTCCTGCTTGCGCTATGTGGATTTTACTTTCGGGAATTCTCAAAAGAAAAATGCACATATAAAAGTGGAATTTTGAGTCGACTCAAAATTCGATTTTGTGGAGGTCGTACCCCAGCTTCTCGTGCCCCAACACAGGAGCTTTTGAGAATTCTCAAAAACACCCTGCAGCACCTCGATTTTGTAGAGGTCGTACCCCAGCTTCTCGTGAAAACACAGGAGCTCCTCGTGCTTGCGCACAGGATGATGGGGTGAGCTGAGCTCGGCCCAGCTCATATCCCAACACAAAACCCCGCTGCGCACAGGATGATGGGGTGAGCTGAGCTCGGCCCAGCTCATATCCCAACACAAAACCCTGCTGCGCACAGGATGATGGGGTGAGCTGAGCTCGGCCCAGCTCATATCCCAAAACAAAACCCCGCTGCGCACAGGATGATGGGGTGAGCTGAGCTCGGCCCAGCTCATATCCCAACACAAAACCCCGCTGCGCACAGGATGATGGGGTGAGCTGAGCTCGGCCCAGCTCATATCCCAACACAAAACCCCGCTGCGCACAGGATGATGGGGTGAGCTGAGCTCGGCCCAGCTCATATCCCAAAACAAAACCCCGCTGCGCACAGGATGATGGGGTGAGCTGAGCTCGGCCCAGCTCATATCCCAACACAAAACCCCGCTGCGCACAGGATGATGGGGTGAGCTGAGCTCGGCCCAGCTCATATCCCAACACAAAACCCCGCTGCGCACAGGATGATGGGGTGAGCTGAGCTCGGCCCAGCTCATATCCCAACACAAAACCCCGCTGCGCACAGGATGATGGGGTGAGCTGAGCTCGGCCCAGCTCATATCCCAACACAAAACCCCGCTGCGCACAGGATGATGGGGTGAGAGAAAAAAACAGGGAGGAGATGAGGGCAGGGGGCAAGGGAGAGGGAGTTGGGGGTGAAACCAGGGATAGTGGATAAGGAAGTTAACAGACCTACAAAGAGATGTGTGCAGAGGAGAGGAGGAGCACGCCACGCCAGCACATGGCAGGACGAGAAGCATCATCACCCACCGTGCACCACCAGGTGTCGCTCAATCATTCGCCGCAGCTTCAGACTAGCCACATCGGTGCTGCCAGCTGTTGCCTCGCCCATCTCTGCCACGTTGGCACACGCCTTGTCGGGCCTCCACCTCGGCTCCGGCGGGTCAAAGGGCGGCTCAGAGGCATCTTCTCTTCCTCCTCCTCCTCCTCCTCCTCCTCCTCCTCCTCCTCCTCCTCCTCCTCCTCCTCCTCCTCCTCCTCCTCCTCCTCCTCCTCCTCCTCCTCCTCCTCCTCCTCCTCCTACTCCTCCTCCTCCTCCTCCTCCTCCTCCTGCTGCTGCATGTCGCATCCTCCACAGAGCCTTCAGCCGCTCTTTCTTCTCCTTGTCTCGGTCTGCCTTCTTTTTCTTCTTTGCCTTCCCACTCGCCGGCTTTACCTTGGGCTTGCTTCGCACCTTGTCTGCACCCTCTCCCTGCAGCCCAACAAGCTTGCCAAAATCGCCCATACTGCGGCTGCCACCATGTCCCGCCCCGAACACGGCTTCCTCCAAATCATCGTCTAGTTGCTCCTCCTCGGCTTCCCCCGCCTCCTTGTCTGCACCCACTCCCTTCAAGTCAATGAGACTGCCCAGGTCGCCCATACTGCGGCTGCCACTGCGGCTGCCACCCCGTCCCGCCCCAAACCCCGCTTCTTCCAAATCGTCTTCTAGTTCCTCCTCCTCTGCTCCCCCCGCCTCCTCCCCTGTTTTCTGTATCTCAAACTTCGCTTCTTCCTCTGCTTCCCCCTCTGCCTCCCCTTTTGCCTCCTTAACACTCTGCGCGCCCACATTGCTGCTCTTTCTCGCCCCCACTCCCCCTTCTTCCGACTCTCCCTCATGACCCCTCCCAGTGTTCCTCCTGCTATACCCCCCACCGCCCCCCTCGCTTCCCTCCTCCCCTTCTTCCTCCGCACCCTCCTCCTCCTCCTCCTCCTCCTCCTCCTCCTCCTCCTCCTCCTCCTCCTCCTCCTCCTCCTCCTCCTCCTCCTCCTCCTCCTCCTCCCCATCCTCCTCTTCTCCCTCTTCCCCAATATCATAATCATCGAGCCCCCCTTTCCCTTCCCCTTCGCCTTCTCTTTCCCTTTTCCCTGATCCCCCTTCCACAAGTTCCTTCTCATATTCCCCCTTCTCCTCTTCCCCCTTCACCTCTTCCCCAAGATCATGATCATCCAGTCCCCCTTTCCCTTCCCCTGCTCGCTCCCGTTCATCATCACCTAAAGCCCCCTCCGTGAGCTCTTTCCCATCATCCTCCTTCCCTTCTTCCCCCTCGCCCTCCTCGTCCTCTTTGCCTCGTCTTTCATAGTAATCCTCTCCCTCGTACCCGCCCTCCCCACCCTCACCCTCCTCCTCTGCACTCTCTTCCTTCTCTTCTCCATCCTCTCCCTCCTCCTCCCCGCCCTCTCCCTCCTCCTCCCCGCCCTCTCCCTCCTCCTCCCCGCCCTCTCCCTCCTCCTCCCCACCCTCTCCATCCTCCTCCTCCCCATCCCTCCTCTCTCGCTCACCACTCTCCCCGCCTTCCACATCCCCCCCGGCCTTCACTCTACCCAGGCCTTCCCCTACTCTTCTAACTCTCACCTCTCCCCTTACTCCCTGAATTCTTGTTTCTTCCCCTTCCTCCGCTTCCCCTTCCCCCTCCCCATCCCCTTCAACTTTCATGCCCCCTTCCCTTTCCCCTTCCCCTTCCCCTTCCCCCTTCCCTTTCTCCGCCTCCCCCTCCTCCACTTCGTCGCTCTCCTCGTCCCCCTTCCCCCCAACTGAACCCCCCGCATCCGCAACCTCCCCTTCCGCTTCCGCCTTCCCCTGAGCGCCACTGTCAAATCTCCCCCGGTCACTTACCCCTGCCGTCTCAACCTCCCCTTCCCCCTCATTTCCCCCCTTCCCCTCGAATCCTCCTTTCCGCACAGCACTCCCCCTTTTGCCAAGCCTAGGCCACAGCTCTCCCGCATCCCGCCAAGATATCTCCTGCCCCGGCCACCCACCCTCCAGCATAGCGCCAACCATTGCGAGCTGCTCCTCCCGCCCATCCTCCCGCCCATCCTCCTCCCGCCCATCCCCCTCCCAGTCCCCGTGCTCCCTTCTGTCCTCACTCCCATTTACTCCCCCACGCTCCTCCGCTTGCTCTCCCCCACTGCCGTCAATCGCATTCACCCGCTCTTCCAGAGAACTGCTACCACTCCCCTCCTCGTCCTCCTCTTTCCGCTCCTCCTCCTGTTTCCCCACGCGCCCCTCTTTCCCGCCATCCGCTTGTGTCCCCTCCGCCTTATTAATCCGGCCAGGAATCGGAACGGAACTATCCCCTCCAACTTCTCCCTCCACGTGCCTGCCTTCGGTCCTTCCTCTCCCGGATTTTCCGGGCCTTTCGTCCTCGGAATTCGCAGCTAGCCATCTCTTTCTTATCTCAGCCGTTGGTTCTGTAAGCCGATCCCCGCCGTAGCTGATGTGAACCTCGTTTTGCGCGCTTTCCGGCGCAGATTCTGTATCGGTCTCTTTATTCTTATCCTCAGACCCTGGTTGGATTTCGCCGTCTACAGTCAGGTGTGAAAGCTTCGCGATAGAGTTACCCGGTTCGTGGAGTTTCGTATGCCCGAGCAGATGAAAAAGGAAGGCTGCGAAGAAAATCGCAGACCATGTGACTATATTGAGATTGTTACCACACAGACTCGAAATCCACCCTCGATGCTGATGTCTCGTCTTGCTGTGCGAACTCGGGTGAACGTGCGAAATCGTGTGCGAACGAGTCTGGGGAGGAATTTGCGACAGACTGTGCGAGTGAGCGCCTGGGGGTGAGCGAAGGTGAGTGCATGGGAGGGATTGTGACTGTAAGCGAGTGGGACGCTCTTGCCGGATCTTCGCCGGGTCCTTCACCACCACGGCGGGACCCATGTGATTATATCGAGCGACGCACTTGATTCGAGGACGATAACGTGGCCCGGAGGAATAATAAATAATGTCGCATTAAGTTGTCAGTCAAAATAAATAACACGCTAACGTACAGCTCGTAAGACGGATGCCGGCCAGCTGGCAGGATGTGGTGATCCTAGACAGCTGCGAGGCGATCAGTTCCATTGATTTCCAAAGATGCTGCTTACGGAATCACGTTTCAGCAGTAATGCCGGAAAGGAAGGCAAGCTAGGAGATTTGCCTCATGCTGCCGACCTTGGTATTCTGGAATCGCCATTGCCAGTAGGGACTGACTGGGAAGGCTCACTCGCCATGTAATCGACGGCACATAGCACTGGCAACGACCAGCATTTTCCAGGTTTGAGTCTGGTTCGGGCTGCCTGCTGGTTTGGACTCAGGGATAATCCTGAAGGTTTGTCTGGCCTGGGCACGTCCTTCGGCTCGGCACAAACTCTCTTCGTTCGGTTCGGCTGAGCCATTGAAGGGAAGAATTTGACTGGTGATTTGGCCCTGACGGGGATTTGGCTTGGTCCAGGTAAGTCCAGTTTGGCGGGTCGAAGCCGAATTCGTCGGCATGGATCTCGGTATGGTAACATTCGCCCAGACATGGGATGGGATGGTGTGATTCAAGGAGCATTACGTGACGCTGTCACCACCACTCACGACAGTCGCACGCTTGTTTGGCGAAAAGTGCGGGAGGTGAACCCAGTACGACGCGGTTCGCAACTGGGGAATATGTACCGCTCGAGTTTTGGGGGAAAAGCGGATGGTAACTAACAAAGACATCCTTAACAGCCGGGGAGTTGGCTCGACCGTCTGAGGTCATGGTGCAGTCGCTACGAGAGAAGCACCCGGCTAGCGCAGGCGAGGCACCACAGTGGGCCCGCGATTTCACCATCTATACCGCTCAGCGGCCTTCACTCACGACCGACATCCTGGCCAGAGCTATCCATACAGTCGCCCGAGCCTCAGCACCAGGGCCATCGGGGTGGATCACAGAGCATCTGCGCGACACCTTCCTCACTGAACCTACCTGCCTCTCCCAACTGTTGGAAGTGTTCAACCAATGGGTGGCGGGACAGGTCCCGAGCGGGCTCGGCCGTGGCTCGCCGCATCCAACCTAGTCGAACTTTCCAAGCCTAACGGCGACGTCCGGCCGGTGGCGATCGGGGAGGTGCTTCCTCGTATCCTTGCTCGAGCTCTCTGCATCTCGCTCCGCCCTGCGATGGTTTCCTACTTCCTGCCGTGCAACCAGCTGGGAGCGGGCACCAGGTTCGGGGCGGAGATTCTCACTCATTCTTTCCGGTCAGCGCTGGCCACTCACCCCGACTGGTGTGCGCTACAGATAGACGTCGCAAACGCCTTCAATTCGTTTCACCGTCATGTGATGTTCGATGGGCTGCGGGAGTCGCCTTTCTCAGGGATGATCCCATTCTTGCGTGTCTTTTATGGGACACCTAGCGACCTGTACCTCCGAGCGGGCCCTTTCGTACAGAGCCTCGAGTCAGCATGGGGATCGAGGCAGGGGGACCCGCTCGGCCCTTTTCTTTTCGCGTTCACACAGCAGCAGGTGATGGAGCCGGTTACTAGGGAGTTCAAGGACCTGCTTTTCCTCAGCTATGTAGACGATACCTATATTTTGGGGCCAGCGGCTAGGATTCTGGAGGCTTTTGGGGTGCTGCGGGAGCGGTTGGAGTGGGTAGGGCTGGAGGTGCAGGCGCACAAGTGCCGGTTTTGGGAGCGCGAGGGCAAGGAGGTGGAGCGGGCACTGCCATTGGGGATGCAGCGGGTGGATGAGGGTCTTACTATGGTGGGCGTGCCTATTGGAGAGGAGGTTTGGGAGGTGGTCCGACTACGGGAGCGGCTTCGACAGTTGCAGGCGCCACTGCCATGGCTCCCCTTGCTCGACCACCCCCAGATGGCTTCACACCTCCTCGCCATTGCAATTTCAGCGCGGCCGATGTACCTCGCCCGGACTATGCCGCCGCGTCCGGAGGTGGTTGAGGCTTTTAGGGATTGGGACAGCTGTTTAGAGGATTGCTTTGAGCAGCTTTTCCCACCTGGCACTTGGGAGCAGGACCCCGACCGGTCTAGGCGCGCACGCATGCAGCTGCATCTCCCTGTGCCTCTCGGTGGGTTCGGGATCCGGGCGGCGGCCTCTTTGAGCCCACTGTCCTATGTTTGCGGGTGGGCGCAGGCCGCGCGGGACATTGCACAGTTAGGGGTGGCGGGTGAGGAGGCGATGTTTGCTGAGTACCTCACCACTTCGACAGGGGCAGAGTTTCTTGACCCGTGGTTTGTCAAGGCTCTCGAGCAGCTGCCAGCGACTATCCGCCACGAGATACCGGGCTTACCTTTGTGTGTAGCGGCCCCTCCTGTTCGGCTTTTCCAGGCGCGTCAGCGGCAGTTAGCTGTAGAGGAGCTCCAGGCACTGCGCCGCTTGGCTCGTGACGATGCTACCTTGGCCCGTTTCACATCCCTTCAGAGCCCGGGGGCAGGTGCATGGGTTTCGGCGGTTCAGGCTCACTCAGATCTCACATTCACTGCGGCTGAGTGGGGCATTGCTGCTGCTATACGGCTCGGCCTCCCAATTCAGCAGCTGCAGGTGGCGGGGAGGTGTGTTTGTGGCACAGCGTATGTTGACCCAGCAGACCCGCATCATGCCCTGAGATGCAGGCACCAGCATGGTCCTTCTCGGGTGCATGATGAGGTGAAGTTTGCGGTGGCGAATATCTCAATATATAGAATTATATATTATTCTGACACGCCCCCATAAGTGCCTGTAGGGAAGAATGTGCAGTCAACGCCCCCATAATGGGGTACACGAGGCAGAGTGCGCAGCAGAACGGGAGAGGGCAGGCAAGGAGGAGGAGAGAGAGAGGGAGAGAGAGGAGAGGAGGTGGTAGGTTCTGGTTGGTCACCCCCTACATCCCCTCACCCTCCCCCTCCCCCTCCCCCCCACACTGCTGCAGGAGCAGCAGAGGGGGGCAAACGGAGGAGGATGGGAAGGGGAGACCACACATCACCCATCACCCCCACACCCGCCACCCCCAGTCCCTCCCCGGGCTCCCCCACACCCTCACACCCTCCCCCCCAGCGGCAGCTGCAGCAGAGGGAACAAAAGGAGGAGGAGAAGGGGGGGGGGGGGGCGACGCACGGCCTCCCCGGGCGCCAAAGCAGGCGGCAGAGGGGGCGACGCCTGCCCCCCCCCTTTCAGGTCGCGCGGCCCCCTCAGGTCGCCTCGACAGGTGACGGGAAGAAGGGGGGGGGGGGCGGTGCACGTGCCCCCGGTGTGCCGCAGCTGGTGACGAGGCATGGCCGGGGCGGGGTCGGGACCGCAAGTGGGCGGGGCCGAAGTGGGCGACGGGGCCGCAAGGGTGGGCGGGGCCGCAGGTGGCGACGGGGCCTCAGGTGGCGGGGCCGCAGGTGACATCGGGGCCTCAGGTGGCGGGGCCGCAGGTATAGGAGACGGGGCCGGGGCCGCAAGGTAGTCGACAGGGCCGCAACGGAGGGCGGAGGAGCCGCAAATGTGGGCGGCGAGGCCGCAGGTGAGGGCGGCGACGGGGCCGCAGCTGAGGGCGGCGACGGGCCGCAGGTGAGAGCGGCGACGGGGCCGCAGCTAGGCGACGGGGCCGTAGGGCCGCAGGTAGGCGACGAGGCCGTAGGGCCGTAGGTAGGCGACGGGGCCGTAGGGCCAGGGGCACGTCACGGGGCGTGCCGAACACAGATTAGCAGCGGAAGCTTTAGGGTAGGCACACAGGTGAGGACCTTGGTCACTCTGATAACATGTTGAGGTACTAGGAAGGCTTAGGAGCCATAGCTAGTAGGTCGAGTAGTTGAGTTCGAGTGAGTTTGGGTGAGTCGAGAAGATTGCAACAAAAGAGTGGCTTCACTATAGAGCGAGCAGTACAAATAGGCAAGAATGAAGAAAGGTGCACCACCAAACAGAAAGTTAGATGACTACAGTAGTCTACACTACAGGCAGTTACAAAACAATATATAGAATTATATATTATTCTGACATAAGGCGTCGGGGGGGGGTGGTGACATTGGAGGATAGTGTGGTGCTGCAAGGGAAGCGGGTTGATGTGGCGGTGCGACGTCCAATGGCTGGAGAGGCTCACGCCCTAGAGATCAGCGTCGCGGACCCGCTATCGCTGTCTCCATCACTGCTGGGACAGTGCGGGCGTCAAATAGGTGTGGCGGCAAGGGAATGAGAGCGTCGCAAAACGAGTGATTACGCGCCTCTGCTTGCACGCAACCGGGGCGTGCAGTTCACCCCTTTGATAGTTGAGACGTGGGGGTGTCTCGGCGGTCGTTTTCAGCGGTGGCTTCGTCAGCAGGGGGATGCGCACGTGGGGCTAGCTGTGTCGCGGGGGGCTTGTCGAGAGGACGACTCTGTGTTTTCGGCTTATCTTTTAGGGTCACTGAAGGCGCTCATCGAGGTGGCGTTACAACGTGCGCAAGCCCGTGTCATCCTGCTTCGAGCGGCGTCTTCCATGGGGGGGATTAACGTAGATTTGGCGGATCGGGAGAGGGACGATGTCGATGTGGAAGGTGGGGCTCTCTGGTTGGAGGCCCCGTACATGGTCGATACGTTGATGTGATTGAAGGGGGGGGGGGGGGGGGGGATGGGGCGTGGGATGGGATGTCTTGATGGGGTGTCTTGACTGGGCGTTTTGATTGGGTAACTTGAGGGGGGGTTTTATGTGTGTTGCATTTGGGTTCTTTTTGGGAGTTTCATTTTCCTTCTCCCTTTCTTTCTCCATTCCCTTTCTTTTTTATCAGGGTTTTACAAAGGTGCAGGACTGATGATAAGGGTTGCTTAAAACCAAAAATTAGTATATATTAGCTGTTAAGAGTGGAGGGCTGTGTCGTGTGTAATCTCTGATCGGGAAGCTGATAATAACCAACTGACAAAAAAAAAAAAACAAGAGGCGACGAAATTGTCTTAGGGCTGCGAAGCAAAAATTGTAACATGCGTTTGAAGTTTGAACGACCTTAATCTTGTCGTTATATTTGGATAAAAAAAATACGTGTTTTTTAATCTTTTGATACGAAACTCGGTTTCGTATGTTATTTTTTTTTCCTTTTTTGTTGAACCTTGAACCAAATTGATGATGATGGTTTGTATGTTGAGATAGAGGCGAGGAATGAGTGCACTATGAAATGAAACAAGTACAAGTACCAACCCTAATTGGGTTGTACCCCCTATGGGCTACCCCACTACAACCTAAATATATGCATCAGTAATATAATCATCTGACACACCCCCATAGGCAAAGTGGGGGAGAGCAAGGGGTCACAAGACCAGTCAAGCAAAGCAAAGCAAAGCAAAGCAAGCTCAGGGTGGATCTCAAGGATACCACACAAATTCCGAGCACAAGGTCAAGGCCACAAGGCCAGTTCACATGCAGCAGAGCATATATATATAACAGTGCTAAACAAGCAAGAGCAAGGATATATATATGCAGCAGTACAAGCAAGGTCAAGAGGTAAGCAAGTGAGGCCCAGTGGGCACAAGGCCTAGCAGAGTGCAAAAGCGCTGATGGTCACGAGGCGGAAGTGCCTTGGTGAACACATCAGCAGTGTTGGCCTCAGTGGCCACGAAACGCAGGTGAAGCTGACCACGCTGCTGCAGCTCTCGAGCAAGGAAGTAGCGCAGAGCAATGTGCTTCGTCCTGTGCTCCAGTCTGTGCTCCTCACACAAGGCAATGGTTGCCTTGTTGTCGACGTACAGCACTGGAGGAGAACGAGGCCGCTCTCCAAGGTCAGTCAGTAAGTAGGTGAGCCAGCGAAGCTCCTGGGCAGCCATGGCCGTGGCGTAGATCTCAGTCTCACAGCTGGAGCTGAGAACCGAAGAAGAGCGAGTAGAGCGCCAAGAGAAAGAGCCAGAGCCAAGACTGAAGGTGTAACCCTGAGACGACCTCTGAGTAGCCTGGTCGTCAGCCCAAGAAGCGTCTGAGTGCCCAGTGAGCACAGGCCGCTCACGCCCTCCAAGCACTAGCCCCATGCCCGACGTACTGCACAAGTAGCGCAACACCCTCTTAGCTGCATCCATGTGCTCCTTCCGGTGACGGCCGGGAGCAACATAGCGTGCTAAGATGCTGAGAGGGTATGCGAGGTCAGGTCGAGTGCAGGTCATCAGGTACATGAGGCAGCCCACAAGCTCTGGATACGGACCACTCGACTCTACGGACTCATCCGAAGGCAGAGCTGAGAGCGAGTGTCCCGTAGGCAGAGGAGTGGACTGAGGCGAGGAGTACGTGAAGCCGAAGCGCTGAAGGACCTGCTGCACCATGTGTGACTGAGTCAGGGTAATGGTGCGGCGTGCTCTGTCCCGGGTGATCCGCAAGCCAAGATAGCTTGTCAGTTCACCCAGGTCTGTGCACGTGTGTCTCTTCTGCAGCTCCGACTTCACGTGGGCGAGTGCGGCAGTGTCCGCAGTGGCAAAGACCAAGTCGTCAACGTACACGAGGATGTAGAACGGCGGCAGCGAGGTGTCGGTGCGCAGAAACAGCGACGGGTCAGCAGTAGAAGGAGCAAACCCAAGAGCCGCAAGTGTAGTCCTCAGTGTGTCGTGCCACTCACGCGGCGCCTGGCGGAGAGCGTAGACTGGCCGCCGGAGGCTCCACTGGGTACCAGGAGGGAACGACCCAGTGAAGCCAGGAGGGCGGCGCAGCCAGATCTCCTCGTGCAGGCGGCCCTGCAGGAAAGCAGTGCTGAAGTCAAGAGAGTGTAGCTCGTAGTCACGCTGAGCAGCGACGTGCAGTAGAACCCGAAGAGTGGTCATCTTCGGGGTCGGGGAGAAGGTCTGAAAGAAGTCAACTCCCTGTCGCTGACTGAAGCCACGAGCCACGTAACGCGCCTTGAAGACAGGCGGAGAACCCGGCGGCCGCTTCACCCTGAAGATCCACATGCCACTGACGATTTTCGCCCCAGGAGGGGGGACAGCGTCAACGTAGGTGCCTGTGGACTTCCAGGAAGCCATCTCTGCGTCCATAGCTGACTGCCACTGAGAGGAGTAGGGACCGGCCATCGCCTCTGCGTAAGAGCGTGGGGTCGGGATGTCTAGAGCATCCGGGTCTCCCTCAGGGGCAACAAGCATGGACACGAGATGGGGCAAAGCGGCGGCAAAGCACTGGAACTCCTCCTGCCTGTCCTCAAGGACGTCCGTGCCAAGAGCACAGTCACCCCCGACGGACGTAGGACAGGCAGACGCAGACGCAGCAGACGCAGACTCAGCAGACTCAGCAACAAGACTGGCAGCGTAGTCCAGATGACACGCAGCAGCAAAGTCGACCAGCTCAGCAACTAGGGCAGACGCAGCAGCGGACTCAAAGGAAGGGTCAGTGACAAGAGAAGCAAGAAGACGCGTGACAGTAGGACTGGCAGCACGGCGAGAGTCCGACTCCGGGTCGGCAAGTGTAGGAAGAGAAGACTGAGGAGGAGAAGGCAAAGGGGCACGCAGAGGAGCAGTGGACGGACGCAGAGACATCTGGTGTGTGCCAGGGACAGGAGGAGGACGCTGACGCGAACCGCGACCACTAGAGCGAGCAGCTCGGACTGGCGACGCAGGGCGGGACGCAGGCTCACGACGCTTAGCAAGACCTCCAGTAGGACCAGCGTAGGGAGAAGGAGAAGGCAGGGGAGAGGTGGGCTGTAACTGTGACTGTGACGGGACAGGCTGCGGACACTCTACGGGAGGAGAAGGACCAGTGGAAGGCGGGAGACCAAGAACCTGCTGAAGGAGCGGAACGAAGTACGGCCGAGGCCGCGCAGCACCGCCAGAGACAGCAGGGACAGCACCAACACCTCCAGAGGCAGCACCAGCACCAGTAGCAGCTCCAACTCCAGCACCACCAGCAGCTGCAGAAGTACCCGCAGTAGGACCGACAGTCGTAGCCTCAGCGCCAGCACCCGCAGCAGCTCCAGCTCCAGAGGCACCCCCGGGCCCGGCAGCTCCAGTACCCTCAGTACGAGCACCTCCGGGACCCGTGGTACCAGCTCCCTCGGCAGCAGCGGAACCTCCAGCACCCGCAGTACCCCCGGCTCCAGCAGCTCGCCTCCAGCGCCGGGCAAACCACTCACGCAGCTCAAGAGGAGAGAGCGGCTCGCGGCGCGAAGAACGGTCTGGAGAACCACCAGGAACAGAAGCAGCAGGCGCAGCACTCCCAGACGCAGAACCCCCAGGCTCAGCACCCCCAGGCACAGCACCCCCAGGCTCAGCACCCCCACGCTCAGCACCCCCAGTCTCAGCACCCCCAGGCTCAGTACCCCCAGGCTCAGCACCCCCAGGCTCAGCACCCCCAGTCTCAGCACCCCCAGGCTCAGCACCCCCAGTCTCAGCACCCCCAGTCTCAGCACCCTGAGGCTCCGCACCCGCAGCAGCACCAGAGTCACCAGTGACCTCGACAGGCTCGACCGCGTCTACCTGAGACACACCTGAAGGGGCAGGACCCTGA